ACATCTGCTTGGGGCAGCCACATCTGCTTGGGGCAGCCACATCTGCTTGGGGCAGCCACATCTGCTTGGGGCAGCCACATCTGCTTGGGGCAGCCTGTGCCACTGTCCACTCAGCCTTCTCTTCTCCAGGCTGACAACCCCACCTTTCCCAGCAGATTGTACTTGTTGCTTTTTTCTGCACTCCTGAGTTGTTTGAACTTCCCTGCAACTCTCAAGCCTTTTAAGGATTAAAAGCAGCCACTGACAGCCATGCATTGCAGGGCTGCAGAGCTGCAGGGTGCTGCATTTGGGACTTCACACACAAGTGTTTCTCCCAGCAGCAAGCTGGTACCACACAGAATATACATGTTCAATTGTAATTCCAGGCATTATTGATGGGAATGGAAGCAAATCTTTCTTTGCTACACCTTGACAAACTCTCCATCTACAGAACAAGTTGAGGCCACACAACCAAAGCCTTTCTTACCGAGATAGAAATTACCTCGTTATAAATCTCTGCCTGATTGGTCTGCTTCTTGATTATTTTAGAGTTACCCAAAAACTTGTAGCTAAATCCAGCTTTGCCAAGGACCACCTCTCTTCATGCTTGTCCTTCTCACCAGATGCTCTGACCTTGGAGACCTCCTGCCCAAATAACCCTCCTGGGCACAGCTGGGACCAGCCTTGCAGGCAGAGCTCTGGCAGCTGCACCTTGGAGAGGCATGATGTGGGACACGTGTCCAGCTCAGATGTGACCTCAGGAGGATGCAGGTAAGGTGGTGTAATCACCTTTTTGGGGTGCGAGGGGGGGAAGAGTCAACAGGGTCTAGCAGATTCCATGTGCTGGGTTCAGCTGCAGGGCCATCCCTTAGAGGGAATACTGGACACCTGGTGATCAGCCCTTGGGGATCCAGGGCAGCACTTTGCTTCTATTCACAGCTACCAGAATTCTTTACTGGAACTGCTGGTAACCAGCCAAATACCCTGATGGGGTTTCTATTTCATGCTGGAGAACTGAGACAAGAATGCCAAAATCATGTCTATATTCCATGTTAACTCTAATTTAACAACTAACACCAATTTAACAATTGGTGTTGCCATTAGGTGCCAAAATCCTATTGGCTTTGAGGAGTCACTTTTCTTTTGCAGAGCTTAGAGCAGGAATTCTGAGGTCCTTGCCTATCAAGCTGCCTCCTTATATCTTTAAAATAGAGATTGAACTGCTTGAGATTATGAAAGCTGAAGTGAATTGCAGTGAATATTTTAAAAGATGAGGATGTTCCTGAAGGTGCAGAAGCAGGCAGTCTGCAGCAAGAGACTCAGCAGCTCTCAAAGCTTTTGCCACTGGTTTTCTGTGGAACAGTGCAGTGTGGAGGAGGTTGGGAAAAGGGCTGGTGGTGGTTCTTGCTGTTTGGGGGAGGAGGGATTGATGTTGGTGATGAATTTTTCCTTCCCTAAGAGACCAGCTGACTGACTGCACTGAGAGGGTGACTTCAGTTGTTGTGTGCTTAAGGAAAATGGGCGCTCTATCTCTCTGTTGTTTGGGCAATATGCAAATAAAGCCTGTGTTGCCAGGTGGAAAATATACTCTGCTGATGACTACACTGATGCAGACCTTCCTGTTTCCATTACAATGATGGACTCTTCACTTGCTGAGGTGAGTGCTGGCTCTGATGCCCGAGATGTGGTTTTGAGAAGGCTCGAGCATTTCGTGCCTTGCTCAGACCCAGGTGCAGATGGCTCAGCTATAAATCAGCACTGCTCCTCAGTGGATGGAGCTGGCACCAGTCAGCAGGGTGCTGTGGGGGGTGTTCCCTTCTGTTTGGGCATGCTTCTGCAATACCTTGGTTATAAAATGAAATGTCTTGATATTTTGTGTCTTGAACATCAAGACCCAAAAACTGGGTCATGCCGTTAGCTATGGAGTGTTTTAAATGTGGTTTCAAGGGTGGAGATAGTGCTGGTTCTGCAGTAACAATTGGTTCTGCCAGGCAAGAACGGAGTGTTTTCACTCCTTTTCTCCACCTGCAAGGAGCCACAGGATGCTTCAGTTGGGAGTACTGCCTTTCTTTGCACTTCCTCCCACAGGCACCATGTAACAGCTGAAAAATGCCATCTTTGCTGTAGGGGAGCTTTCCTTCAGCTGGTGTACTCAGCTATGCCTTCACTGCTGCCCTGGATCCTGCATCTAGAGCTCGAGCTGCAGTTTCCCTGGGGCAGCAGCAAGAGAAGCTGCAGCTCAGCACACCTAAGCTGTGCTGAAATCCTCACTGTTGAAGTCTAAACCTCAGCTCCACCACACAGGGCTCCTAATGAGCTTGCAAACTCCTGTATTGGTGGGGATGGTGGAAGAATATTGATCAGTGGTTTCTATGAAACTGGAAATAACCTTTTGGGACCACAGAGCAGCCAGCCTCAGGGTGAACCTGCCTGGTGTGTGGTACCTGTGAGTACAGGATGGTCTGGTTGTAGTGGTAAATCAAAGCAGAAAGTGCAGTGTGGGTAGAAAGTAAGAGTGCTGGGAACTCTGTGGTTTCAGCACACTGGGGTAGAGCAGGTGAAGGACTCCCAGCTTGTGCTGCTATTAAGTGCCCTTAAAGAGAATCCTCTCAAGGGTTCCTACTTGATCCAGTCCTCCTGGAAAGTCACAGCTGGGCAAAGGTGTGTGAAACATCTGTGCTTTGTTGCTCTGGGGCTTTCTGTAATTCCAGCTGGGCTCAAAAATGTCTCTCTCCATCCTTGTTATCACTTTTTAGTATAAACTTTGCACATGAATGTTCTGAAGGGGGGAAATGAAAATGTTTAAGCTTGCCCTAGAGAAAAGGCAAATGGGCTGTGCCCAGTATCTATTCCAAACACTGGCATGTAGGAGAAGTTGCATATCCTTATTCACTACAAAAAGTCTCCCTAGTTTTCTTTGGAGTTTTATTACTCTGCAGTTGCAGATGTATTTGAGCAGATCAGATTGTAAGTAACTCAAATTATTTGTGTCAAATCATTGTCACCATAGAAGCTCAGGGGCTACTTAATGAAGGAGCATTTGAGAGCCAAGTGAAACTTGGGCTTTTTTTCTTGTTTGGCTTTATTAATGTGGAAGTTGTACCACAGCCTGAAAACCTGACAGGTCTTCCAAATGTTAATAATTGTTTGGGGGGAGTTGTACAAGACTGGCCAGAATTCATGGGCTGAGATAGAGAACCCTTGGATTATTATGCTAGAGGGATGGATGTGGGAAAAGTGATTAGGGATGGGCTTCAGGATCTTTTTTGGCTGTTCTTCCTCATTAAAGGACTGTGCCATTCCCCAATGCTCTATCAACAGATTTTACTGTAAGGGTGGGGAGGCCCTGGCACAGGCTGCCCTGAGAAGCTGCAGCTGCCCCATCCCTGGCAGTGTCTAAGGCCAGGTTGGATGTTGGTCTGAGCAAGCTGGGATAGTGGAAGATGTCCCTTGGCCATCAGTGTTGGAAATTTGATCTTTAAGGTCCCCTCCAACCCAAACCATTGTGTGATTTTATTTTATTAAGACATCTAGAATGTGGTTTCTCTTTTATTGGGATTTTCTTCCCCTTTATGTGGAATCCATGGGAGTGTACAATCCTGGCAGTCAGCTTAGGGTTATAAAAACTGAATTGAGGGTTTTCCTTCATTGCAAACAGAAATCACTGAGCATGTGCCCATCTGGGCAGGTACAGGTAATGTAGCATAATGTGTCATTTCAGTTCTAGGTGATGCAAGGGCTTTTCTGTTTGCTTGGGTGCTATGTGTTAGTTTTAAAAGCCCTTTAGATTTCTTTCTAACATGATGGTATTCTCCCTCCCCAATACTTCTGCAGACCCAATGGCCTGAACAAGGCAAATGTATTGCTGCACTTCCTCAACTTATGAGAGAATTCAAATAGCAATAATAAAAATAGCCTGAATTTGCATTAAGGGAAGCATCCACCTGGCTGGGCCAGGGCTGTGTAAGAGCAGCTCTGACAAGGCAGGGAGGAGGGAAAAGGCACTTGCTAATGCTAGGAGCAGTTGGTCACTCTTGGGAATGACCAGGGCCCTTGGATACCCCCTGTGCTCATTTGCTGGGTTTCCTGTGTTCTCTGAGGGTGTTTGAAGGGAGTAGGAAAGATACCAGAACACAGGCAATGACTTGCTAATGTGGTTTTTCTGTTGTTTCTCCACACACACTTCAGTAGTCCTCTTGGGTGCTTGCTGTGGAGGGAGCTGTTCCCCCTCCCTCCCTCTCCTCTTAGAGAGGAGGGGATTTGGGCTGGTTTTGTTTTCTGTTCAGCACTTCTCTTCAGCACTGGGTAATTCAGCACAAGTCATTACCAACTTAACCCTTTAAACCTCATCACTTCCCCCCTGTATCTTCAGCCATGAAGTTGAGACCAACCCAACAACTTGAATGAGCGAGCTGGAGCTCTCCAGGGTGAAATGCAGAAGAGGGACATTGCACAAATAGCACCTCCCTCGAAATTCAAAGCCTCAAGAGGATATTGGTTTTGCCTGTGATGTGATAAGGCTCAGGTCCAAAACCACACTGTGGCAACTAGAGGAACATGAGCAAAACTGCCAGCTTTTAATTGCTTTGTTCCTCTGCTGCTTGCACACCAGGGAAGCTTGAGGCCTCTGAAGGGGCTGGGTAATTGTCATATATAACATTGTTGTACAACACAGCACACAAGTGTTCTGAACCATCTGCTTGCTCATGCTGTGACTATTGGCACTTTTACCTAATGAGGCTAATCTCTACAGCCAGGTGAAGCCCTGTGCACCTCATTTGTAGGTTTTGGGCTCCAGACCACGAAAATGGATCTCTCCTGATGCAGAGTTAAGATGTAGCAGTGGTGGCGCAGTAACGTGTTTGTTGGTCATTGAAGATGTGAGTTAGGAGCCAACCACAGAGTGGGGAACAAAAACACCTCTCTGAGTACAACATTCCTGAGATGGCTTTAGACTAGTTGGTGATTCTGTGAACTTACCAGCTAGTTCTTCACTGCTGGAACGGTTTAGGCACAGCTGGGAAAGTTAAAGTTTTGATGTACAAATTTTATACTGGCATTAACCCTCTGATACTCACTGTTTTCTCTCTCTCTGAAGATTGACCGTGAGGAGTCAACACCGCCAGCCATGCTGATTGCATCCAGGTCAGGTCTTGTGCAAGATTTAAAAGACTTTATTAAGATGTGTATCATGTGGATGAGTATCTGAAAGGGTTTTGTTTTGGCAGTGATCACTTACCATCCGCCCACGAAGCTCTTGCATCCTCAGTGGAAAGCACAACACCGGTACCAGGTGGGTCCTTAACCTGCGGCACTGGGAGTCTTGGATGTGCCCAAGTCTGTGTGCTTACTGAACAAAGAAAGCTGTGTTTCTGCTGTCTGGTGTTGCAGGCTGCCTTGTTATGGAGGAAAGCTCATCCAAGGGCTTACATGAGAGAGGGGAAGATGTGGCAGTGGAGACAAGCAGCAGCAAGGAGCCAGCTGCTCCCATGGCAGGTACGGTGGCGGCTGCACTGCCTGTTACTCACCCTCGGAGGAAACTGTTTGCTTCCAGCACATCTTTGAAGCGAGGAAGCTGAGTAAGAGCAACACCATGAGAATTTCTACTTTTGCAAGTGTTTTCACCTGCCAGTGCTCTCAAGCCTCCATGAAGCTGAGTAGGAATGAAGTTTTTTACCCCTCTTACCACAGCACTGCAGGCAAGGGAGCATGAAACAACTTGGTGAGATCTTGGGGTTTGCTCAGTTGGTAAAACAGTGAGTGGGTACAAAATCCCAGACCATTTTGACAAGAGAAAACATGTTTTTGTGGGTTTAAACAGTTATTTAGTTCAACAGTGCCACTAAGCACTTTCCTCTCGTTCAAGGCTGTTGCACAAGAAGCTGGATGGGTCAAGAGGCAAGATGAGGGTAGAGGCATTTGAATATTGTTCTGTCTTTGCTAGAGCCTTAAACACCCACCAGATTCTTACCAGCTCTCGTGATTTTATTCCACTGAAAAACTATAAAATCAAACCAAAACTGGAGCATCTGTACACACTGTATTTAAGCTGGTTTTGTGAAGCTGATCTGAATAAGCAGCACAGAATACCTGTGTGTTTGTTTATAATATCTTCTTAATCTTTACCTCAATATAAGACTACAGTTTCTTGTTTGGTTTTGTTTCTTTCCTCAGTACTATCTTCCTGAAATCTAATTCTGTCTCATCATTTAAAAGCATTTTCTTTTTACTAATTTCCCTCTACTGTTAATTTTCATATGTGATCCAGGTGCTTTTAGCGAAGAGGAAGCAGATATGCAGAACAGATTTAAAGAAGTCTCAATAGCTTTAAAGTCTGAGAGTCCAGCTATCTGTTGCACATCTCTGAAAAGAAAGTGTTCCTAATACTAGAACTAATAAATCTCCCCTTGCAGGCTTCCAACTTGAAGCTGGAGTTTTTCTGGTTTTGCTTTTTTTCTTGTTGTTCTCTGTGCAATTGCTTTGGCTCACAGCTGTGTGACTGCATAAACAAAGAAGAAAACAAAATATTCTTGATGTTTTTAAGGTATAAATACTAATTTAAAACGGCCTCTTTAAACAGCAAACACCACCAACAAAAAAAATCTCCATGCTGGTAGCAAAATATAAAATTTATTTATCCAAGGGAATATTACTGTAACTCCTGCATCTTTAACTACAGGAAGTACATTATATTTTCAGCTGTAGACATATAACACTTCTTATGGGGATTTTTCCCAATCTTAGTTATCATACTTCTTCCTATGTGTCTTTATAGTGTTCTTTGCTGTCTCCTCTCTTTCTCAGTGGTATTTCATGGCATTTGGTGCAGTTTTTTAGATTGGTTGGCCCATGGCTGAAATGGTGGATGTTGGAAGCTGGGTGTGCTTTCTTAATCATTACATTTGGATTTGGGAATGTTTTTCACAGGACCAAGTCAGATGACAAGGGAATCCTCCCTGGCCACAGAAGAACACAAGCCTGTGTGTCAAAATATTTTGAAGCAAGACCTGGTAAGAGTGCTGGTGACAGTGAAAAGCCCAGCTGGGTTGGCTGAGGAGTGGCAAAGGAGGGGAGAGGCCCCTCCAGGGGTGGTGTGGTTGCTCCCTTGCTGTGACTGCTCTGCTGTGCCTTTAGGAAGCGGACCAGGAAAAGAGAAATAACAAAGAGCAGAGTGAGGAAGCACTAGCTGTGGTTCCCAACAGGAAAGGTAAGAGGGTTTTGCTGGACACCTTCATGTTACTGGAGCACAAGCTGAGTCCAGAGCTGTGTAGAGAGGTGCAGGGAGTCGCCTGTCCCACACCAAGTGTGATGCTTTAGGGCTTGGCACCTGCAGTTGGAGATCACAATGACTAGAAGAACAGTGGTGTCATGCAGAATGTGCTGCTCTGATTTCCACAGATACTGATCTAACCAGCTCCACATTCCTCTAGAGATGAGGAAAATTGTTAGCTGCAAAGGAGTTGGGATATTAGAAGCTGGTGAGGTAGTAAATGGCATAACATCCTGAAGCAAAAACCTTCAATTAACCATTTATATGCTAACAATAAGATAGCAGCTGAAGTGCCCTGAACAACTGACTTTTGGGGCCTTGTACAGGTGGCAGTGCCGTGGCGCCTCACAACAAACAGAACCTGAGGCACATGAGTTCTTTTAAGTGGTGCGAGCTTAAAACTCTAAATCTTGAACAGGGGGTTTTGTGAAAGCTTAAAAGTCTCTCACAGGTTGGTTTGGGGAGACTAATTTTTCACTTTGGTCTGAAAATGGGTTTTTTTGGTCTCTTCTCAGGGAGTTCACCCACTGCAGGTGGCATTAAAGGAGATAAAACCAAGCAAAATGAGCCGTAAGTGTTTTGACTTTCAGTGATCGCCTGCAGGTATGAATTTAAAGCCACAGTCTGTTCCATGGTTCTTTTTCTTCCCCTACAGTGACACTCCAAATGAAAAGGAAGTGGAGGTAAGTCTCAACTGCTTGTATCCTGAAGTATTTCAGACATCAGATCTTGTAGATAAACTCCTTGTATGTAAAAGAATGATCCAGCTTAAACTGGATGTATTCCTGCAGTCTAACTTCTGAAATCTCTTTCCAAGCCTAATGGAAATTTTTGCAGGAGATGGGATGGAGAAAGGTGAAAATCTGTAAAATTGAACAAAGACTTGTCACTACTGTGACATTTGTTTGCAAGCTTGAAGGAGCATAGCTGTGACCTCCTCCCAGGCACAATGTGCTGGTTTAAGACAGTTTTGTCAAAAGGCACAGATGGCACATTGTGCTGCCAGGATGTCACCTCTTCTGGCTGCAGAAAGTTCCCACCATCACTACAGATGGGAAGACCTGCTTTAAGGAAGTGGGTCATGTTCACTTCTTCTTTTGTATCTCTGCTAAACTTTGGTCACAGGGTATAGCCCCAAATGTCATATCAGTGTCCAAATCTACCTAAACTTCTGCATCACTTGGATTCCTCTGAAATCTTTTCTCCCGCAACAGGCTGAATTTCTGAGGCTGTCTTTAGGTTTTAAGTGTGACTTGTTTACCTTGGACAAAAGAGTGAAGCTTGAAGAGAGGTCTCGAGACCTGGCTGAAGAAAACTTGAAAAAGGAGATCACAAATGCTGTGAATATGTTAGAGGTATGGCAGGGGCCAGCAGGGGGATGGGATAAGTAGATGTGAGTGTCTCTTAAAACAGCTCTTTAAAGTGGGGTGTGTGCATGGGATGCATGATGAGCAAATATTAATGAAGTTCTGGAGCAATACAGTTGAAATATGAGAGATTATGAAGGGTAACCCTGATCCAAGTGTATTGCATGCAAAGGCAGCAGGCAATTTTTCTGTTGCATAAACATCTGACCCCTGCTTCAGCTGTTTTTACGCTCCAGTCTCTGCCCACTGGAGCTCTAAGTTACACTGATTAAGGATCTTGATGTGGGCCTGAATGCAGCTCCTCAGTGTCATCAGCTCAATCTTCATTCTCTGTTAATAATTCACACCAGTTTTCTTACCAATGTGTGCTCTTAGGCTTTAGTTCCTTTGTGTGAAGAAGATAACCAGGCACAGGACATCATTAAGAAGCTGCAGAAAAGCCTGCAGTTCCTTAGCCAATATGCAGCTCGAGTTGCCAGCAGAGCAGAGATGTTGGGAGCTATTAATCAGGTAACACTTCCCATCTAAAAATACTTTCTACAAAGCTAAAAGCTTCTAGCTGCAAAGGGATGGCCACATCTTTCTGGGGTTATGGTTCCAGGATTGCATTTGGGAATCTGGTGTGTGTAGTGTAGACTGCTCAGAACAGTTTAGTCCTGGCCTTCTCTTCTCTCTGTGTTCTTAAAAGGAATCCCAGGCATTGAGAGCAGCCATGCTGCACTAGAATTGTGCAAAAACCCACAGCAGAAATAAGATTCTGGTTGAAAAAACTAAACAATAAAGACTTTGCAGCAGTGAGATGTACAGAATACCAAGCAGTGTGGTAACAATGGCCTTGATGCTGCAAAGGTGGTTCTGTGCCTTATGGAAAGGGCAGCTAATCAGCCAAATGACCAAGTTCTGCTCAAGTGTTAGGTGTGGTTGTGTATAATACCCCAGGGCAGCATAAAAATGACTTGGCAATACCAGCAAATGCATGGTGGCAGCTGAGACTGCAGATCAGAGGAAGTGATGATGATGAGTTGTAAGAGCTTGGCAAACTGAAAATTGATTGCTTTTACGACAAGAGTGATCCCCAGAGAAATGAAACCTGTGTACCATGTGCCAGGACAGGGGTTGTAGTGAAGCTTTGAAAGGGAAGATAAAAGTGAGATAGCAGAGGAGAGCAGGTGCTCTCCAAACATGAGGCAGTTCCCTGAGAGCTGCTGCTTTCCCTGCTCCCTCAGGAGAGCCGGGTGAGCAAGGCTGTGGAGGTGATGATCCAGCACGTGGAGAACCTGAAGCGCATGTACGCCAAAGAGCACGCTGAGCTCGAGGAGCTCAAGCAGGTCCTGCTCCAGAACGAGAGATCCTTCAGCTCCCTTGGAGACAGAGGTAACCAGGAAAAGCCTCTTTCCCCTCTCTAGCACCTGCCAGACAGGCCCTTATAGCTGCAGAATAGTCCTATAATCCCTCCACATCTTAGGTGACAGAATTATACAGTGGTTTTGTCATCTCCTCTAAAAATGGGGGGGACAGCCGTCTATTAACATTATTAAAAGCAGCTCTCTGAAATTAAACTTGTACCTAAACTGTCATGGGTCTCAGGGGTGTGTGTGGGGCACCACTGCAAGCACACAGGTATGTCCTGCTTTCAGCAAAGGGCATGGCACGTGCTGGTCTTGTTCCTTGTGAGCAGTAAGTTTAGGTGCTTGTTCACAGTAGCTATTTCTAGGTAGCTGAGCTTTGGCTGCTCTCTACAGCCTGCACCCTTTCTTCATGGGAAATTACAAACCCCTTAAGTGCAGGGGCCCTCTATTTCCCCTTCTAAGCTGCCAGGTTTGCAGCCAGTGTTGTGCACTTGTAGCTTTGCCAGTATTAAACTCTTCTGAAAAATAGGATGTGTTTTTCAAGTGCCAAAAGGAAAGTCTTCCACACCATTAAATCCTTGCAGGAGCCTTTTGGATTGCAGTCCTGACTGCGAAAGACAGTCCTGCAACAGGAAACTACCTCAATAATGGAATATATTTGATGATAGTTACAGAAGTTGATGCTTGCAGAGGATGGGTAATGTGTGAATGTTAAGAACTTATTTAATGAAATAGGAAGCTTTTTCCTGAGACCTCATTTCTGCTTTCTGAGAGTGCTTTGCTTAAACAAGCACTGCAGAAAGTCAGACCTTAGGCTGCAAATTAAGCTCACTACACTCCTGTAAGCAGCAAGATCCTCCTGTAAAGCTCTGATGTCTGATCTCTTTACAGATGAATCTATGAATAAGAAGCTACCAGGTCCTTTTAACTTTAAGGTAATGGTCCTTACATGAAATTTCAATTTAAGTGTATGTGTGTTTGGTTTTTTTTGTGCTGGTGCTCTGCTGCATGCTTGACTTGGTGCTTTTCTGTCACAAATATAGGCTGGTGTCATCAAACATGAGGATCTACTTTTCAGGCACCCCACCAACCTTCTAAGTAGTCCCCCTTAGAAGATGGAGGAGAAGTGGTTGGGCTCTCACTCACTGGTTAAGAAATATTGTTCATGTGTGGTTCTCTTGGAATTAAAGGAGGGTTTAGCACAAAGATATGGGAGCAGTTCAAACTGCTGAGTGTAGGAATTCCTGTGAGCCAGGTTAGGGGAATTCAGTTACCTTCAGGGTTGGTATTTTGCTGGAAGCTGTGCAGGCAGCCTCACTCAGGTGGGCAGAAAGCACTTACTGTGGAAAGATGCTGCTCGAAAGAGCTGATTTGATCTGCACTTGAGATTGGATTCTTTGTGTGTCGCTTCACGCTAGGTGTCAGCACCTCTTTTTTTTTTTAATATAGCCTGCACAAACCAGATGGTATTTTGTGTGCTCAGTGGGTAACCCAGTTGTGCCTTGCTAAGAGCCAGTAATGCCTCTTATTTGTGTAGCCCTCGTCAGCCCTGCGGAGAGTTAGCATTGCAACAGTGCCCAGGAGCGCTGGGAATGCAGGGATTGGGGTGCCACTGGTAAGTAGGGGCTGCTGGAGGGATGCTGAGGTGCTTCACCTCCCCAAAACTGGCTGGGATGAGGCATCAGAATGCCAGTGCAGTAAATGTGTCAAATTTCTCCTCCAGGCCCAGTTCCATGAACCTGATGGGGATGAACGCAGTGACAGATTCAGCAGGAGATCAAGCAGTTGGTAAAGTCACCTGGGCTTGTCTTTGAATGGGGCAAATATTTTTCAACTCTAACTGTGCCTGTAGGAAGCAGTTTATGGAGCATCTTGGGGTACAATAATGTTTAGGCTACACCTTTCACATTAGTTTAATGGGCTGTAATAAGTAAATGAGCCTTGTGAGTTCACCTTTTTTATTTATTGAGCATTGAGAGCTTTAAAAAACCCCACAACTTTCTTGCTTTAGAACTAAATTGTGAAATCTAAATATCTACAGCAGGTGGATCTGCAGTTTTGTTTTATTTCATTTGGGTTTTTTTTAAATGGTCCTAATTTCAAGCAAATAAATTTGTAAGTTATTTGTCTGTGGTTAACCAAATGAGTAGGCTGCTGCTAAATTTCTGATTTTCTGCTCTCTATCTGCTGGGGAAAATCAGGCAAATGTGTTTAACACCTGGCAGGGGCAGGCTAGGGGTGAAGCCGAATGAGAAGCGCCCTTCACTGCAGAGGTTCCTCAGCACCTATTCCTGGGCAGAGTATGAAGAGGAGCCTTTTGAAACCAAGTAAGTTCAGCAGCAGCCTCCTCCCAGGTGTGCTGGTTTAGTTTTTAATGAGCTTTTAATTCACCACCTGGTCAAGGTTATAAAGCCAAGCTGTTGTGAATTTGGCAAAGCTTTGGAGCTGTTGATTCTTGTTTACAGGAATGAGCAGTTGGAATCACCTGCTGAAGTACAGGAACAACCAACTAGGAAGGAAAGTGTCTCTGAAAAAGGAAAACACCCACCCAAATGGACCCTGGAGTCAATGTAAGTTTCTTTCACAAGTTAAAGGCATGTTTGGGAGGTGCACTTGAGAAGAGGGTTCAAACAAAAGGCCAGGACTTTCAGTGCTTTCTAGGAGCAAGATTTCTTGCTGCTCTTGCAAGGCAGCTTTTGTGAATCCTCTTCAGAACCAGTGTGAGGAACAGGGAGCATGGGTGGATGACTGAGCTGGGCCAGCTTATCAAGAATTTGCTTCCTTGACTATATTTTAAACTCAGAACAGTTTAGCTCCCCCTGCCCAGCTCCCAAAACAGTAACAGCCTGTCACTCTTGTTGTTTGTGGGATCTAGTTTGCTCCAAGGCTGGGTGGGGTGGGAAGAGTTGCTCGTTTTGGGGAAAGCCTGAAGGGCTCTGTGCTTTCCTGCCCTGCCCAGGTACAATTCGATGTCAGCGCAGGCGTCCCACCTCAAGGCTTCCTTCTGCAACGCCAACAAAACCCTCTGGGCGTCCATGTCCCTCCTGGTCCTGCTGGCTGCTCTCACCAGCTTCCTGGTGGGGCTGTCCCTGCAGAAGCCGGCAGATGCAGCCCCCGTGTGCAGTGGGAATGCCTGGAGGACGCTGCAGCAGCTGCTGTGGCCCTACGTCAGACTGCGGCACTTCGGCCCTCCCCCGATGTAACCCCGGCTCCGCTGCCGGGGCTGAGCTCCGCAGGACAGGAGCTGAAGCTGGCCTTATTTAAGGTTACTTGTCTGGGTTTGTTCTGGTGGGTTGTGGGTATTTTTGGGGGGACAGATCAAGTTTTTTTGTCTTTAAAGCATGACTTGAACTGAAAAAAAATATTTCCTATTCTGACAAAAGTCATCTTCAAAAGCAGCTAGAAGGATCTCAGTTCTACTGAGGTTTACAAAAGAACAGCAATTTTTTGAACGTAGCTAACAATAAACATGTCTAGGTGGTCTGGCCACAATTGAATAAAGAATTTATTTTGCTTGAACAAAGATAAAATGTTTGCATTTCAGAACCTGTTTAAATGTTTTGAATAGAAAAGTATTTAAAACTTGAAATGTAACTTTATTGAAAGCTTTTGATAATAAAGTTTTGAAGGAAAGCATGCAGTAGTATCTAAGAGTATGCCAAGACTCTGGTAGCAAGGAGCAGCTGATACACAGAATCAATGAACATGCAGCCAGCTCTTTCCACTTTTTCCACTTCATTGCTGGCAGAATCCTTGACCGTATGGTAGTGTGGAGTGAAATTCAGACTCTTCTTGCACCTCTTCTGAAAAAGCTTCACTGGTTTCAGTGAGCTTGAGGTGTTGCACTTTCTCACCATCGAACATCAAAAGAGACCAGTGGCTGCCTTTGGCAGAACCTGCTGTCAGATGTTCACTCACCTGTTGCAGGAAGCCTGTGCCACTGTCAGAGCACAAATTCCAATATTTGTGTGTCCCATGCATTTAACCTGAGTGAGACAGCCACTGCAGCTCTCACAGTGGGTGTGCTGCCTTTCTCCAGCCACACCTGGGGGTGTTTGTCTGGCTGGCAAAAGTTTTAACCATGTGTTTTAGTTACAGGTGCAGACAAACCAGCAGAGAGGTTGCTCACTGCCTCCCCTGCAGCAGGGAGCAAAAGAAACCCTACAGGCAGGTACCAAGTCCCAGCTGTTCTTTACAAAGCTGGCAGAGCAGACAGCTGCTTCTCAAGGGGCCTCTGGAGAGCAGGAAGCTCTGTCACCCCAGCTCTGGCCAAAGCCTCCCTTGGTGACTCCTCAGTTCCATGTTCCTTAGCAAGTGTCTTTGCTGCTGAGGTTTGTGTCCCTGAGAGCTCTCAGGGCAGGCTGTGACACTGAACTGGGGCAGGGGCTGAAGCCACCAGGGTGAGGTGATTGTTTCTAACCGGGGCTGGGCTCAGTGCTGGCCTGCCCTGGAACTTTGGGACTCCACAAACCTTGAACACGACTTGCTCTGGCCCTGCTTCTCCATTCCACTTGCTGTGAGCAAAAGCAGCTGCCAGCAGAGCCATCTGTTCATAGGCCCTCACTTCTGCCAGGGCACCCTGCAGTGACAACACAAACCAGACAAACACATCTCTGTCCTCTCCTCTCCCTGTGCTCCAGCAGGGCCAGAGCCTGCTTTACTCAGCCCTGCCTCAGCTGGCAGCACAGCAGCTCCCAGGGCAGCAAAGGCTGACCTGAGTGAAAACCAGGGAAAAGCCACCAGGAACCTCTGGCACTCACCTTCCTGGGCACAGGGACATACTTGGGAGAGTGCTCTGCTGGGAAAATGTTCACTCCAGCTCTTTTCAAAGCTGCTCTGAGGGCAACAGGACTCATCCATTTCCCTGTGATGTGGGAAAGCACCTCCTTCTCTTCCACCACTACTGAAGACAACATACACTGATTATCCTGTTGTACAAACCAGTGAAAGCAACTTACTGGTCATGGAAGCTCCTTTCTGGGTTAGCCTTCAAATATTGATATTTTTGCTATGCTGGGTATTGCCCACATCATCTGCTACTCTGGGCTGTGACCTTTCATTTACAGATCCTGAAGAAAGCCAGCCTTGTGCAGGAATCAGAAATGACCCTGGTGTACTGATTTATACACCAGTGAACAGATGGATAATCATGAGTACCTTGAACTTTGGGAAGAAACAAGGAGCATGAGGCTGCTAGAACTCCCTGTGTTTCTCTTGGTAGAGCAGGAGGACAGAGGAACTTTTCAGCTCTCTAACAGGGGGAACAGGCTTGAATGCAGCAAGGCAAAACCAGCAGCAAAGCACTGACTGAAACTTTCCAGAGCAAATGCACATTTCTGCTATGTGAAATGTGCTATTTCTCATAGTAAATAACTGAAATTAAATAACCAGTGCAGTGCTTGGAAAGGAAGAGAGTTTCAAATTGCTCTTGTAGAAGCATCTCAAATTCTTAATCAGAGACAATAATTATGGGGCTTTTTATCTGCAAATGTTTGATTAAAAAATTATTGACAGTACCTTAATTTGTATCTGAATGGTTGCAAAGGCTGCAGTGACTGTGAAGAGTCCTTCATCCTCACCAGTAGGGTGCAATTCCCAGGCCTGATAGGGCAGGTTCAGGTGAGCATCCTGGAGAAGGGCTACTGTAGAAAAGCCACCCATGCTGAAGGTGATCCTCTTTTCTTCTGCTTCATAGGTTATCTTGCTGATGCCATCAGTTCTCCACCATTGGCCTGGACAAAGAGGATGGAAAGATGTACATGGAAGGCTTCTGGCAGTAATGCTGAAGTAAACAAAACCAAAAAAAGTAATTGATTTGGGGATTTTTTGTGGTTTTTGGGGGTTTTTTGGTTAAAATTGCCATCCCCGAACTATTTCTGGGCTCCAAACTGGCCCTTATCTTTACAGCTGGATTGTAACAGCAGTCCAACTCAGGTATAATTTCCACTATTCAAATGCCATCGGACTAGCACAGGCACTTTAAAATAAATCACATTATCAGGGAGCCTCAGGGTGATCTGTACTGCTTCCTGTGTGCCATCTTCAGCCTTTCCTGGGGAATATGGATACTCCTCCAATCCAACATCCAGCAGCTTTGGAAAGAGAGGAAAAGGACAGATAAGGTGTTTTCAGAAAATGCAGGTTTATTCCTTTGAGTTCATCTAACACTGCAAAGCTTTCTAACACCCATTTCAAGTGGTTTGCTAACCCTGCAGGTGCCCAAGCCCAGCTTTGGAGGCAGTGGAAGAGCAGCCTTGGGAGGCCCCGGCCCCTCCTGAGCTGCTGCAGGCGCCCTCAGGGCAGGGCCAGCGGGCGCGGCCATTCCTCACAGAGCCCCAGGCACCGGGAGCAGGGCAGGCAAAGGCAGCTGCGATTCCACTGTCCCACAGGGCCAGAGGAAAGGGGAGGCTGGGAATGAACATCCTGGGCCTCTTCCCCTGCCCTCTGGGTTTGGCCTTTTGGGAATTGTGCTTGTTAAAGGTTTCCAGCTCCACAGTGCCCTCTGTGGGGTAGGGCGGTGCTAGAGGAAACCAGAACCCAGTGCCCACAGTCCTCAGGCAGCCTGCCGGGCCTGGAGCTGAACCAGCAGTGGGCTTGGGTACCACTGTGCTCCCACCTTTCAGGTGTGAAAAACTGATGATTTGCAAACCTTGCCTGGTCAGTTTGCTGTCAGGAACTCGTGTGCAGTGCATGTGACAGCAGTGACAAACCTCAGGAGCTGCTCCCTGCCCTCCCTCACCTCCACCATGATCCAGTCCCCGACGTCCTGGGCCTGGGGCGGCAGCCGCAGGACAGAGATGTGGAACACGCCCCCCACGGGCACCAGCTGCTCCAAATCCACAACTCGCGGCGCCTCTTCTCCGCCTCCCGGCTCCTCCTGCAGCGGGGCCTCCTCCTCTGGAAGTGCAGCAGACAGCGAGAGCTCAGCGGGGCTCAGGCCCGCTAGCATCGCCCTGTGCCGGTCCCGCCGTGCCGGGAGCGCTTCCCTGTGCAGCGTTCCGGCCCCATCTGCTGGCGCTCCTCGGCATCCCTGGAACCGGGACAGCAGGAGCGGGGCGAGGAAAAGCACTCGGGACTGGGGCTGAGCTTTTGGATTTGCAGTTCCAAGTGCTTTCTGTGGGAATAAGGTTTTACTGACAGAATGAGTCCATCGTTACCCACAGAAGAATTTCACAAGCACAGTAGTACAGTAGATTCTAGGCAGGTTTAGTAAGATTGTATTGATACAAAAAGAAATGAAGCAAATCACATATGTCAAAATAAATAAAAATAAGGCATCAAAAGGTCATGGGCTGAAGGTGAAAAACGTATGATAATTACGAGGAGCAAGAGGGATTTAACATGAAATACAATTTTCAGATAACAAAGATAATTATGCATAGGGAAAAAAAGAAATACATATATATCATATAAAATTATAAATTTAAGGTTTAATGGATTGGAAAATGTTAGTGAAAGGCAGAAACACTGTGGACAAAAATGGCCATAAATATTTTCTTTAAAAAAGCCAAACAGCTCATAAACCATCACAAGGGATGGTACAGGAGAAGTTACTGTTTACAGGAATCAAGAAAAAAACTGTTCAATATTGTAAAAACGTTTACTATAATTGTTATGAAATTTGCTCTGAGAGAATGAGACCAAATCAAAAAAAGGCAACTCTAAAATGCTGTGAAGTGGAACTAAATTATGTCAATATTATGCAGTTGTTTTATTTAAGTCAGTACCACAAGAAAACTCACTCTATTAAACCAAAGAACAACACCACAACACTGGAGAAATTTGCAACTCATGTGAGACCGACAAACAGTTTTATTTTCTAGAATTAGCCCCTCTTTTAACAAGGTGCAAGAGCAGGTATCTCACTTTAAGCACCATTCAGGTAATACTCAGTACCACCCCATACTACACCAATGCCTACCATGATACACATTGGAATCATCATTTTCTGAAGAAATAAATCTCCCCAGAGCCTGGCAGATTCATAAAGATTGTGTGTCTCACCCATAAATATCACCATATCACCATAGATATGGATATTATATGTATAATAATATCCATATCTATAGGAACATTATAAGCATGTCCATAAGCATAAATAATAAATAAAAAGTGTAGGGACAAACTCCATTTTCCTATCTGTCCTGTTATCTTCCCTCATGATTTAACAATCATTAATAGAAATGTTAACAAAACATCCCTATATTTATAAACTTTGCTCCATGCACATGGAGGTGTTGCAGTGTTTCCATGGATCGTGGAATGGCCTGGGTTGGAAGGGACTTTGGAGCGCAGTGTCGCTGTCCCAGGCTGGTG